GAAGGGGCTGCCCAGGGAAGGGGTCGAGTCCCCACCCCTGGGGGGATTTAGAAGAGGTGTAGATGTGTTGCTTAGGGTCATGATTTAGTGATGGACTTGGCAGTGTTAGGGTAACAGTTGGATTTGATTATCTTAAAAGGCCTTTCTAGCCTAAACAATTCTATGATTCTGTGGAAGAGCACAAAATGAAATGCCACATGGGTGGCATACCCCAGAAGTTGTGGAAAAGACATGCATATTAGGAAGACATATAGGTTCAGTTTATCAGAGCAACATTTGGCCAAGAAAAGAGCTGTCCTGATTTGGCTCAAGTTTAAAATCAGGGTCAAGTGAACTTGTTTTACTAAAACAAGAACTGACCTGAACCTTCACCAGGCATGAACTACTTAGTAAATATTTCAGAGCAGCATGAAAAATGTAAAATTCTGCATAAATGCTTAAGCATGTGATGCTTGGTTCTGCCATCCTTACTCTCATCAAGTAGTTTCTTACTCTTTGAGTAGTCCCACAAAACACATGTATTTACCCAGGGAATAAGCTGTACAATGTAATGGTACAGAGCAGCACTATTTTTGCCTACTCCTTTCTTCAGTGGTTGGTGAGGAAGATGTCTCACATACCAGACCTGACAGTAATGCAGAATAAAATGCCTAGAGAGAGGTAGATACCACTATGATTAAAGCAATTTCTGAGCTAGACCCTTTTCTAATCTCTGCTTTAAGTACAGTACTTACTTAATAACAATCTGAATACATTTTTTCCATGTTAAAATCTTCTTTTGACACTGCATCTGTCACACAGCCAACACGTCTGACCCAGATGTACTGAGTAAACCCCACAGATTATTTGTCAAACAAATTCTGGAACCTAATATTTGGGTCTTTTATTTAATTGGTATGCAAATGAAGAAACAAGACAACATTTGTGCTCGATACAGTTGTCACTTCAAATTCTGGTAACATTCATTATCATGCTTACAGATGTTTTTTTTACACCTAACATCTGCCAATACTACCTAAACCGCAGGAAGTTGACAAACCTGTGCAAACTTCCTCTCAGTCTCCCTCTCGCTTTCTGTTATCTGTTCCATGCACACTAATTTTGTGCATCTGAGGCCTCTGCTCGCCAGAATTATGCCTGCTTCCTAACACCTCTGCCTCCAGAGCTTTGGATTTGAAATTGAACAGACACAGAGCCAATTTATCATAGGATGACATGTGTCATGTTCATGGTACAACCAGAGGGACCTACTGTATGCACTGTATTTATCCTTTTGTTGTCAACGCGGACAAAGACAATACTGGCAATAGGCAGCTATTAAATTTTTTAAATACAATACATATACTTAACTGTTCTGCTGTTAGAGTTGGGGTTTTTAAATGTAGTAATAGCTTGTTTTTTTTAACACCAGATTTCCTTTGTCAGATAATCATCTGTCATTCAGGCATGCAGCATATTAAAATATGTGAGCATCAAATACCAATGCATTAGCAGCAAGTCTTCAACAAAGCAACATAAAAACCATTTCATACATACTCTTTCTGCGAGTAAGAAATCATAATCAGATTTAATGACAGCTTACACATATTTATATGTACTAATGTTGTTTGTAGCTGTATTTATACCTAACTATACATAATGTGTTTACAGAATAGACATACAAATATGTGCATATGTATGTCTATAAATATATGTGTGTATGTGTGTGCATGTGTGTGTTTGCATATACATATATGTATCTATAACATATAGTTCTCTACAAGATAAAGATACAAACAAAATGAGTAGCCTGACGAGTAATGAGTGAATTAAATAAACATCTCAAAATATTAAGAAGAGATTTCTGTCAGAAAAGTATGTCCAGATATTTCATTCCTAGAAGAGCAAGAAAGCAAATGTTGATGCAATTTGCCTGTCACGTCCTGACTCTGAGCCACCTCAGGGATAGAGAAATCCCTGGCACCTTTCAGCTGATTCCAGATACGTTCCCTGACACCTCATTGACCTGCCATCTTTGCAGAGAAATATCCCGGACCTGGCAAAGGGTCTATGCTTTCACTGCAGTGATAATCTTGCAATGTGGCTTTACTTTAAATAGTATTGTTCCTACAAGATCTTCTTAGTTAAATCTACTGGTTGACCTACACAATAACACCGAGGTGGGTTTGATGAAGAAGTAGCACAGGAGAACTCTCCAGGGGGCAGAAGTTGAGGGCTTTGTTTCAGGAGAGGTTAAGTAGAGACTGTGACTCAACAACCTGAATGAAAAGGGAAAAGAGCCATTTCTGCAAATATATTTCTCATTCAGAAAAACTGAAGCTACTATTTATTCAAATGTATTTTGTATTATAGATACATATGAGCTAGTTATTTTGAATTCATAGGTTATCATAAGTCACCAAGGTCATATCCTGTTACTTCTCCTCCCATATTTGATGAATGAATCTGTTCAAACAGGGGATTAGCGCACTGTATATAGTGAATAGTGGCCAGACATACTATATTTCATACTACACAATTTTAGTCATAAAACTGTTCCAAATTCACCAAAAAAAAGTGGATTTGAATGTTTTCATAGAGTGCAAATGATTGCATAATACAACAAATTCTGCATATGCATTTGTATATATGATCTGCTTTACACTATTACAGCCTTAATACAATGGAAGAGAAGTGAAAAAAGAGGTAATCTTGCTCCATTCACATTCACTCTTAAAGCATAATCTACTACCACTCTATTCCAGTTTAGCAGACTACGGGTTTCCCATTTTTTTATTTGCCAGTATGAGAAGCATCAGATTTTTCTGCTGAACATGAGGGATAGAAAAGAGTTAGTTAAAGTCTTCAAAAATTCAAGGTAGATTCAGATTGCCTCTTAGATGAAGTGAAGGATGAAGAGCTTTGATCTTATTTGATATCATTCTGTTCCTCTATTCCTGGTAATGTAAAACCATACTAGAAAAAAAGCTAACAGTGGGGGGAAAAAAAAAAAAAAGAAAGAAAAATAATGGCTAAACCCAGGAAAGCATTAAGATGAAATAAACCAAGTAATCCCCGTTCTTCATAATAGTCTTTCTACTGGAGGAATAAAAGAAATGGAAAGTTAGGCAATATATTTTTGCTGTAAGTTAGCATAAAAGATAACCAGAACTAGGCATATTATGCATTTTGTTTTGTTTTATTTTTAAACAATTGGAGGGAGAAAAAGCTTGGATTTAGCAGAGAATTTGCAACTGAAAATTTTCTGACAGCACTGCCTCTGCCCATCTGTGCAAAGATTTTTAGTAACGCAAACATAGCAGTGATGAAGAGCATAACATGAAATACCATGTATTTGGCTCATTTCAAGATACCAGCCAAAGAGCATGGCTCAAAAATCATAAAATGACTGTGCAAGTTTTCCATCATAAATATTCCAGTGGATAGCTGTTAATTGTCAAAATAGTCACAGGTGAATCCTCACAATCACATACTTTAAAGTTTTAAGGAGAGTTTCATTTTTATTATAGGGCAGGAACAAGGATTAACAGTGAATGGGGAAGAGAGTGGAGGGTTTTTCCTCTTCACCCCATACAGTCTTTATCCTTACTCTTTTCCCACCTCCATGAACACACTTCTTCGTATATAAGAAGCAGATTGGAACAGCTTGATGGTGTTTATATTTTATGCACAAGAAACTATTGATTTTATGGGATTAACTACTCAAGCAACAGGAATGAGATACAAAAGGCAAACATCATCAGGCAGAAATAGGCCAAAATGTCTACAAAGTAGAAGATCTTCATCTGACTTGTGAAAGCAATATAATTTGGTTTTATTCTACAGTGAATACAGAAAAAACATAAAAACATGATGGGGGTGAATTTTATGTAAAGGCTTTATAGCTCAAATGATTCAAAGCTCTTTGTGCCTGCTGTAGCTATCTCTTATGATATATTGTCGTGGGTATTTCCTGACCAGTGCCTTATAAGTGACTAAAGTACAAGTTTTTGCTCAGCTTCTGGTATTCACAACTATACACTTGAAAAAAAAAAAAAACAGTAAAAGAAATAACACTTCAGCTTTTATAAACACCTGTAGACACTATTATTACTATAGACACTTGTTTCACTGCTCTTGGATAATGGGAAGTTTACTTCACATTATAGAAGTTATACAGTACACAATTATGCAATAAATTTTTCCCTACGAACAGATACAACAGAGCCAGGAGTACAGTTATGTGAGTCTGAACAAATCTGAACAAATAACATTTGGGTCTTTTAAATCCTGCTGATAGGAGCACCAAGGAAGGCAACTGGAGTCCTCATAGCCCTCCAGCCTGGGTAACAGCTATATCAGTGGGATCTAAATGGGAAAGACAGTAAAGTGGAAACTAAGCACAAAGGAAGATGAAAAACAAAAGGAGGAAGAAGAAACATATACTTTTATGTGTAAAATCTACATCTCTGATAAACTCATGAAAATTTTCTCAAAAAGGAGTCAAACAGTTATTATCTCTATCTCAGATAATCCATGTGCTCTCTAAGGATTTGAAAATTCCACGTTTCTTTAAAAAAAAAAAAAAAAAAAGAAAAAAGCGGTGTGAGCAAAAGGAGGAGGCAAAACTATGATAGAGTCATTAAGGGACAAGGACTCCAGCTTGCCCACATGTATAACCCACACTTCTGCTGAATCACAATCACAGAGTTAGCAGGTAGTTTGTCCTATATAGATAAGTAGGAAAGCTATACGCTCAGAAATTCAGGCTGATGAGAAAGTACTGCTTACAGGCAGTCTAAGGGGTTTGTTTGTCTTTCTCAGAATATTTTTTAATAGACAAATCAGGCTAAAAGGATTTTATTGGGATACCCAAACAAATGAGCAGATAAATGAGACATTTAAACAACAGTCCTCAGTATTAACACCAGTCAGAACACTCAGCCACACACTTCCAGCTCTTTACAATAGTCGTTTAATTATGTGCAATGTTGAGAATAATTCATAGCAATCTTGCTTGGATTTTTCTTCGGATTAATTTTAGTTTTGAAATCCATGCACTCCATCATACAATAAGCAAATAAATCCATCAGGCACCATATTAATCCACAAGGACATTGGCTATTGCCCCTTCCATATAAGACCTGAGTCCCACTATTTGCAGAAAGTTGACCTATATGCAAATGCTGCATAGAGTTAAAATTCAAAGATTAAATATAGATTTTCTAGCTCTATGCTATTCAACCTAACTTTACCTCCAAAACACCAAGAGAAATTTGAAACAATTCATTGAATGTTTCCTCTAAATAAGTAAAGAAATTGGGCAGAAGAAGTTCTTGAAAAACTTATGTGCAGTTTAAACAGACCAGCTCTTTCTACCCTACTAGCCCATTCAATCCACCTGTGAGTTCAAGACAGCCCACTTAATGAGAGAAGAGGCCTGTTCCTAGCTCTTGGAGCCATGTTGCCCTCCAGCCACATTTGTTGGTATGGAGGAAGAGCATAATACCTATGTTTTCAATGACTCTGCTTCTGAGGACTTGTACTGCAGCATCTGCTGCAATTTAACATCTGCCCATGCTCTCAAAGTGTCACTGTTTTGAAGGAGAAAGAAAAAAAGACTGACAGTGACAACAGGCTCTAGAGTGCTCACAACATTGCAGAGATTGAATAACAAAGAAAAAACAAGCTGTGATGGCTAGAGATCTGGAGAAAGGATCACACACTCTTTCCAATACTTTTTACCTCAGCTGGCAATGTAAAAGAAGTTAGTACTAAATAGATAAGAACTGTGTCAATGTGAAATAGCCTTTTTTCTGTATTTTTACATCTCTCTGCCTTCAGGGTCCGCTCATGAGTCTCCTATCTAGCATGTATCTCTGACACTAGCCTTCCTCAGTGAAGGGCTTGGACCTGACTCGGGGAAGGGAGCTCATATGTTTCCAGCAGCACAGGAGGCCTCCTACGTCTCTTGAAGGTCATCCTTATTCAGTAGTGGCATATAAGAGCAAACACCACTTACATTTGGATGCTAACCCTCGTGAACATGGGAAGTGATTGCACTACATCACTGCCCTGGCCGAGGCGTGCTATGGAAGGTGAGTACAAGGATATGCTTCACAGTCTTCTACCAGAGGTCCTTGCCAGGTGTGGATCCCTGCTGCCTGTTTCTTTTATAATAATTTATCTTTTCAGGGCTAAGTGCAGAAGGAAAGGATGTTAAAAAAGGGTTAACCTCGTTCGGCTTAAAACAGGAAAAAAAAGAAAACAAACAACAACAAAAAAAAGCAAGCTGTAATTCTCTTTCTAGGGGGCTAAAGGTTAGGTTTGTTAACAAGGATCTTGTCTGTGACCCTTCAAGCCCTCGCCTGTTCATCAGTGAGAAAAGCATTTTGACTTCTAAGAGGGCCTGAAAGTGCAAATTTTATCAGATAGTGTGTCCAGGTAGATTTCAGTCTTAGAGGAAATAGAGATGGAGCTTGTGGTGAAGATGGCTAATAAGCAAATACTCATTTGTTAATGTTTGAATGAGGTATTTACAATTGTATCTGGTAGTACATATCTGCTATATCTATTTTTTATTGCTATCAAGTTTTCATATTATTTCTTTGGCTAAGAAGGAGATCTATGAATTATTTATCCATTTGTGTAGCTGTTCGTTGCTGATAAACTGAGCAAACATGGGATTCCTCTGATATCACATATCATCCAGCTCACAGAAAATCTGATGCTGTATGTCAACTACCTAATCGCTGAAAGAGGACAAAAAATAGGCATAATTAAAAGAAGTAAAAAGGCTGCTGAAGTATTTCAGATGAAGTTAACTAAGAAAATCACCAATCCTTGAGATTAAGCTTTTCCGATTTCATGTAAAGCTTGGGCTAACCGGGAAGGAAGAGAGGAAGATAAAGTTAGAGACAATTGTGTTTCTTATCATCTCACACATACTATTAATAGGCTACAACTAAAACAAGCGAGTATCTTTCATTTCTGGGAATTAGACTTAGCCTGATGCTTTTGTTCATATTTAGAGTGGACTTGTCTTTGGTTTCTCAAGCCACTGATTCAACCTATTTTCCTGCTTTCTTTGTTTCACATAAATCATAAAGCATCTGGGACAAGGTGGAGGGTAACAGGTGCTGACCAGGCGTATTGGTTCAAGCAGGATTGCTTGTGCTCAATAGGGTGCTGAGAAATTGCCCAGCACACTATAGCATGAGGAAAGTTAACAACGAAGCATACATGCTACCCACCAGGTAATGAGCAAAACACTACATTTTTTATTTTGATGTATGCCTTTGTCACTTGACAATGTCATTTCTCTGGCCACTGACAAAGCTACTGTGTTTTTCTCTACAGTGACAGTATCATATAATTTCTCTCTCTCTGACTCTATGTATATATATATGAAAAAAAAAAGGCAGAGAAACTTGATGTTCACTATTTGGGATAAGATGAGTGACAGTGTACAAAACATGGACTGGATCCCTACTGTGTCAGAGAGATACCAGGCAACATAGTAAAGATGATCAAGTTACCATTGACTTGTCAAGTGTTAACTTTATTTTCTAAGACAGGTTCAGCCTCACATCAGCTGGAAGTGTGCCTGATCTTAAACCAGCTACTTTTCAGAGTTGCTCAGTGTAGGCAGAGAGAGAGAGACAGAAGACCAGCCTCACCCGTGGACTAATTTTAGGCAGTTACCAAGACAGACACATAGAGATTTCAGCCTAAGGTCTGAACTAGCTAATGACTGCAGAAAGAGTTCCTGCCTTGGAAACCTACAATACATGCACAACAGTAGCTGAGATTAATCTAGATCTCTGAACAAAATTAATAAGGGAACAGGTATAAAGAAGACATTCTCTCCATCCTCAGATGAAATTCAAGCACTGTTTTTATATCTACTACTAGGCCTGGCCTTTCTGATACAATTTTGTCTCATCTTTTTTCACTGCTCTTAAGGCCAGCGTAGACTTCTGCAGTTCTTTAAGATGAAGAAGGATGCATCATGGAATGCGCAGGTTTATTTCAAAGGCCGGCTACATTTCCATATTTTTTTTTCATTTGGGTTTGTGGCAATACTGCAGTTAGATTCTTCCTGCAGCAGCCAGAAGTTTCAGAAGACTGGCCTCACCTTCCACTTTGTTTGCCACTCCTGTGTGCCTCCTTTTCTGTCCTTGACTCCCATTCTTGGAATCTGATGATCTTTAACCTTTCAAGTAAGCAATAACTGTTCCAACATTATACTTTTTCTGTGCTGTCCTGGGTATTCCTAGGTAGGTAAATCTAAAGGCCTAAGGAAGGTCTCACGGATTCTCTCCCTTAATAACACTCCCAATGATAATTTCATTACTTGATGCTCTAGAACACCCTCTTTATCCTTTCTGCCAACAAATATCATCATATTCATCATAAAAATGTTTAACATGAAGATTATTTGGTTTTAGTTGTGCAGAAAAAATAGGTTTTCCTCTGTGATAGTTTGTGTTATAAAGATCATGTTATCAAACTCTTGTGACAGAATTTTATTTATGCAGCTAAAGGAGAAAACACAAGCAAGCCCTTAGAGATTTGAAAATCACTTCAGTTCTTTACTTCTGTTCTAAGTGGGTTGAGCAGAATACAATCCCTGAATCTCTCAATTAAAATAATCTATTACTCTGCATTTTTCCCCATTACTCAAGTGCCAACATACATAGACACAGCCAGCGTTGAGCCACTACCACACAGACAGCTTCCCAATTGTAGCTGAGCAACTATTAAGAGGTATCAACTCTTAAGAAAAGGAGACAAAATGCTGTAATAGCAATTGGTGATGTAATGATATTGAAATCCACTAAGAATAAAACACCGTACTGTCAGACAATACTCAGGTCACCAGTTCCAACTGAAATCAGTTTCCTTTGATGAATAAAGTATTCATGCTGCACTACGCATTTAGTTTCTTTTGTGTTAGTAAGAGACTTCTACCCAGATGTGTTCCACTATGTCTGGGTATGAACTATTTCTTCTGCTAAGTTACTCTGGAAAGAGGGGGGTTCAATTCTTTTCATCTTAATGCAAACTAGTCATTAGATATGAAAGCACAGAGTGAATAAGCACTGTAGAGCTAATCAAGGGGTAAATAACACTGAAATGCCTCCTTGCAGTATTTTCCTGAAGAAAATCATCATTCAAATAGTGGAAATTTGGTTCTTCCTGCTCAACTGAGGAAACACAAATTAAATCATCAGTACCCTTATCATCTCTCATTGCTTCTTCTCATTTCTTCAGGGCCTGTTGTACAAACACATCTATGTTTCGTGCATAGGGTGCTGGAAGTCAAGCCTTCCTCCCTTCTGTAGGTCATCTAGTCATCATCTTGCCCTTGTTAGTCCTTTTCTCAGTTGACCCTGTGCTACATTAAACAGGGTGAATGAACTACTCCAACATAAGCTGCTTACTTGTGTTTTCACTTTTTCCGAGGGCCTCCTTTTTCTTCATTTGGTAGGTTTTCACCTAATTATATCATAGGATAGAGACTTCAGAGCACTGAAGTAAATAGAAGTGGGATGTGAACTATCAGTGCAATTCCTCTGAGCCTGCAGCCCGATCCCCACTTAGCGTTGAGAGACTTTGTCTGCAGAGGCATCAGACCTATCGCATTTGCAGCAGAGTGCAGGTAAGCTTTTGATCCAGCCACATGTTGGGAGCAATTCCACAGTGCAGGATCCCATC